TGTTTCTATGTATATATAACATGTATGTATTAAAAAAAAAGTATATATGTATTTATATCAGTTGTCTAGTACCCATAGTAAAAGCTCTGCTTAGTTTGGGACTAGATGGTGTAGTGTGAATGTTGTAGAATTATTGTTATTTTTATTATTATTGAAAAATAATAATTTTGAAAAAAAAACATCTGTCACATCTGTGTCAAGAACAGAGGAGAAGAAAAATCATAACATTCCTATCACGTAATTTATGGCTAACCCCTAAGTGACCTATGTGAAACATTTTAAAAAGGTCATAAATGTCCTTCTACACATAAATAAAAGGGACATTACAGAAGCAGAGCTGAAGCCACGACATAATTTCGTGTAGTGGATGATAACAGCGGGCGTTGAGTGCTGCTATATGTTCTACTCACGTACTGTAAGGGTACCGGATCCCTCTTCGTATTATACAGTCAAATAGACTACTGATGAACTTTAGATGTGTGTAAAAACTATACACGATATATTTTCAGACGTTATTGGGAGTTGATGGGCCTGTTGGTTTTGTGGTTAGTGATATTGACTGCTATGACAGAAGGTGTGGATTTGATTTCCACCCGGGACAAATATTAGTCAAATTGCAGTCGGTTAAATAATAATGTATTTCTCACTGATTGCGCGAAAAATCATTTAAACAAATACGCATACCTAATAATTAATATAAATAATATTAAGTCATAACAAAAGCACTAAATAGTGTACATAAAACTTCCTTATGTCCCTTGAGATCAATAATACTACTCACTAGAAAGAAGAACTATAGGATTATGTGATAGGTGCATGTCCGTGTGGTGACAGATTAAGAATACGGAGTGTGTTCTGTGGGTGTCGTAAGAGCCGACTAAGAGAGCAAACTAAACAGAAAAACAGCACTGCAAAGAGAAGGAAAACTTGACACAAACCCTATACCAACCCGTCTGGCCAGCGTGGGATATTAGGCCAAAACCTCCTTTCTAACGAGAGGCCTATGTCCAGCAGTGGACTACTAAAGGCTGCTGATGATGATGATGATTGATTAGGATTATGTGTATAAAGCCCAAAAGAGGCTCTTTATCATGGTATGAATCGACCTATCATGTATCTGCTGTAGACATAAAAACATAAAATATTTATTACCTGCAAAAATTCAATGATTGAGCTCACCGTCTTTCATTAAGAGAGGCCTATGTTCACCAGTGAATGAAGACATGCTGCTGATGATGCGCACCAGGGACTTACTTTCTAGGGTATACCTGGTTCCCCGGCTATTAGTACCCGAGACGGCGTGCGGTTTTAGTCGGTTCGAGTCCGACATGCCACCGACAGGTGGTATCCGAGGGGATTTCCGCACGGAAAAAAAAAAAACAAAAAGAGGCTGCTGATGATGAAGATAAATAGAGTATTTTAAAATTATAACTACGAAAAGTGCTGTTTTATTAAAGTATTCACTACAAAAAAAATATTAATATTTCTAACAATAAAAAAAAGAAAGTTATAAGATATATGAAACCAACAACAGCCTCTGAATAAGTCAAAGAGAATATAGAACCGAAAAAAATAAATAAACACAGAAGCTAAAAGATTTTTTAGGTGTCTAGCTTGTGACCTTTTTGTAATCTCAGCATACACGCGCTCGAACCCAAGGGCCCAAAACCGTGTTTATATTTACTATGATATTCATTACAAACATTCTCCAAAATATTCAACACATTCAGTGACAAAAGCCTTCTAAATTAAACAAAGGTTTGCTCGTAATATGATATTACGTGCGAGATTGTGATATATCAAAAACTGACATTTAATTAAACTATTAAGAAGACACACACTATTTATAATTACGAGTACTATTACTAGGCATCACCTGGCGGTATGATTTCCAACATTTTGAATATGTTGTTTCATTTCATTGATTAGTACAACTTGAATACTAATACATATATCTCACACATCTCACCCGCGGCCGTCTGATCCCAAACTAGGCAGAGCCTGTACTATGGTAACCAGACTGCTGATAAACATACTCATATATTGCTAAATACATACATATTATCGATAAATTACACCCAGACATAGAACAAATGACCGTGCTCATCACACAATATTTGTCCTGGGTGGAAATGGAACCCACGACCTCCGATTTAGCAGTCAGGGTCACTAACCACTAGACCAACTGGCCCGTCGCAATTGGCATGGTATAGTAATGAATAAGAATACATTTATTAAAAAAAGGTATTTGATACAATTAGTTTTACAGCGGCCATAGCACCAAGCTCGAGGCTATTATCGCAGAGGCCACAGATAGATTTGTCTTACAGTTTCACACTTCACTTTCGACTCAGCAAGTACCATAGATACTATATCGTTATACTATATAGAATGACATGTATGTATGAATGTATGAATATTTCTAATTTTCTAGGCCCGTGTGGTGACGGATTAAGAAAACGGAATGTCACCACCCCTGTTCATCCCGTGGGTGTCGTAAGAGCCGACTAAGGGAGCAAACGACGCAGCACAACAGCACTAAAAAAAGAGAAGGAAAACTTGAAACAAACTCTATATCAACCCTTCTGGCCAGCGTTGTATAGTAGGCCAAAACCTCCTTTCTAAGGAGAGGCCTATGGCTAGCAGTGGACTGTTATAGGCTGTTGGTGATGATGATGATGAATATTTATATATTGAGAAATTCATAAGTATGTTTATCAGCAGTCTGTTTATCGTAACACGGGCAATGCCTAATTTGAAATCAAGCGACCGTGTGTAAAATATCTCGATTTATTATAATAAATGAAAACTTACTTTGATTACTTTTTACTTAAACTGTAGGTAATTGTTATTAATCCATACTTATAAATGTGAGAGTGAGTTTGTTTGTTTGTTACGCTTTTATGCCTAAACTACTAAACCGATTTAAAAAATTCTTTGACATATTTAAATCTACATTTTCAGCGAGTTCCATAGGCTACTTTTTACCGTGATAACCTACATACACGTGGCCCGAGCCGAGGGCAAAAGGTAGTAGTCTGACTGCATGGATGGCGTAGTGGTTTAAGCGGTCGCCACGCCGCTTCCAACTACGCCGAGTGTTGTGTGTTCAAACCCCACATGGGACGACACTTTGTGTGATCCACAAATAGTTGTACTGAGTCTGGGTGTTTGTTCTTTGTGTCCGTTTCATGTGTTTGTAATGTCCCCCGCGACACAGGATATAGTAAGTTAAGTTAAGTAGTAAATAAAAAAAGAAAATAAAACAACAACTAAACACCTGACACGTGGTACAAACTAAAACCCTATCACAAGACGAAACAAGAAGAAAACAACGGTATTAAGATTAAAGAAATAAAAAATATTCGCTGAGATGTACTTTAATTTTCGAACGTACCTAATCAAAAACCTTTAGCGAACCCGGTACATATTATGTACACACATTACGTAACGTGTAGGTATTTTCGTTCATATCAATATTCGAAGCTTCGAGTCGATGGCTGTACTTGACAGCGTTCTAATCAAATAGCTTTTTGATGGAAAATCCGTGTTGTGTACTTCAACCATGGATTATCATATTTTATCCAAGTTAAATAGAATTTTGGGTTAAGAGATTAAGATCTTCTTTCCTTTTATTTTTCAAAAAAAAATACACGTTTTAATTTTTTAATAACAAGGTAGAAAAAGAAGGATTAATGTTAAAATACATCAGATACTAATTGCAAGCAAATGGTTCTAATTTCCCGTATCAAATTTGGGCTAAGTCTAGAAACGTGATCTGTATAAAAAACAGCTTTTTACTTCTCAAACGAAGAATGATAAACTAATTTACATTTAAACCTGACCTGAGAGAGGGTAGATGCTTTTTACTAAGAAGCTGCCATAACGAGAAGATATGTTAGTACGTTAATTATTAATAAATAAACATACGATTTTAAATGTTACTTACATAGGTACGATGCAATAAAGGTGTCTAAAATAATGTTTATTATTGGAACGTAGTTCCTTATCGCTACATGCTTTGAGCGGATAGGAGCGAGACCGGAATATGTGTAACAAGACTTTTTTCCGACACTTTAAGTTTAAAGCGGACTGTATAGCAAACGTCTACCAAAAAGCGAAAGGAACTTCGTTCTGACCGGGGGTCTATAGACCTCTCACGCCGTTTTTTATTAAAACTAATGTTATAATGGATGTTTCTTACCCAAAGTGCACAGAAAATCGCGCATGCCATACTTTTTCTGTCGGAAAATATATATTCACAAATGGGTATTATCGAGCAAAGTCTCAGGAAAAACCGGGTATACTCTACTTATTTCAACAATTCGGAGAATAAAATAATAATAATAACTTCTGTTAGCTCTGGTCTGGTTCAAAATTAATCAGAGCCTGTACCATAGTCACTAGACGGCTGATAAACATACTTACATATTTATAAATATTATAGATAAATTACATCCAGACACAAAAAATTAACACAAATTATTTATCCTGGGCATTTAACCTAATAAAATGAATTTTGATTTTGTAACATTTTTTTTTTTTCACTGTCTATTCATCATACTAATGTAAAAGTATATACCATACTAAAGAAATATACGAATATATCTCTACCCTATTTCTGTCTGCAAAGAGCAAGTTCCCGCAGTAAATACCTACTTCACTAAATAGTTTGATACAAAAACCTTACAAGGTTTACATTCTCTGTAGCCTTTAATTTCCACGTACATACATCAGAGGACTTAAGTTTACTAGACCGCTATAAACAGACCTCACCACACTCGGCTTGCAAACGTTAAGTCTGTTCAAATTAAAATGGACCGTAAAGCCCGCTATTACTTGAGCTCTCAAAACCGTAACCTCTATACCATGAAGTGGCTCAATATTACTGGGCTGTTATTCGCAATGTGCTAAATAACTGGTGTAACTTGAACTCCCAAAACCTTGTTAAATATATTACGAGACAGGTCAAGTATAACTTAAATGATTTAAGTACTTACATAGGACGTTGATGGTATGTGTTGCGACGATATTTTCAGTAAGTTGTGCGTTAATGCCGTGGCAAACAACTACAATAGACCGCTTATTGGGTTCAACAACTACGGTGATGTTAGATGTTGTGATCCAGCCGCCTGTAACAAATACGTAAAAATTTATATTATTTATAGTGATAAACTTATGTGTGGTAACTGTGGCTAATATCGTAGTATCATATAAATTACTAGCTGACCCGACAAACGTTGTTTTGCATATACATTATTTAAAAAAAAATATAAAAAAAAAAGTTTGGGGTATGAAAAATATATGTTGACCGATTCTCAGACCTACCCGATATGCACACAAAATTTCACGAAAATCGGTGGAGCCGTTTCGGAGTAGGTCAACCACGCACACCGTGACACGAGAATTTTATATATTAGATTTTGCCCGCTGCTAATCTTTTGATGGGAAATACCTTATGATGTGTTTTACACTATAAATCTATCTCTGTGCTAAATTTAATCCCGACCAGGGCCTCAATCCTGCTATTGTATGTTCACGCCAAGCCACTGTAATTCCATTGACACGCTATGGAGATGCCATTGAGACGCCATTGAAATCGGTCAAAATATCAGTATTCTACTAACATGATTTCACAGTATCAATAGACTGTCGATATAGTAATATAGGTCATCAATGATGATATCAACAACATTGCCATATTTGGAAAATTAAATATATAATTTTCTTACAAATTTAAAATGTACCGTTTACCAAACTATTTCAAAGACATCGAAGACATTTGTATCGGTGACAAGTCATCTGGAGGCCATTGGTCTTACATAGTTTATAGAATAGGCAAAGTGCAAAACTATTCTGACGATATTCCATAGACAGTAAAAATAGCAGAATAGAGGCCCAGTTCAGTTCCTCTTGTCTAGTATCAAATATTCATCTACACTTTGGTATTTTTATTTAATAGTAGTACATATTTATATTATAGTATGACACAAAAGATCTAATTTAAAAATTATGAACTTACCTTCAGGAGAAATAACCGTTCTGTTGTTAGTTTCCTTGTGATGTTTGCCCAACACTAGCCACTTAATATCAGCCGCAGGGTTTGAAGGAGCAGTACTACATGTCAGAGGCACAGGATCTCCAACTCTTGCTTCTGAAGGACCCGAGATTGTTACATGTGATGGAGCAACTGAAATAAAAAAAACACTGTTAGTAAGTGAAACAACGATACATAAATCAACGTTAAATGTATAAAGGAAAGAATCAACTTTATCTTATTGCATTATACACCTCTAACAATATTTGAATGTTTAAAAATAGGTGTATTCATTCGAAACTTTCTATATCCTTCTAAATTATAGCTGCCCAAGGGGCTTTGATTAATTTTAATCTGTACAAGAATTTAATTTATGTGTATTGTTAAAGCATCAGTGGACCTTAGACATTTTAGTAAAGGATTTTGAATATTTGTTTCAATTGTTTTGAACCTGGTCCAAAAGTCGTTACCATGATTTAAGAATACACAATTTTCAACTCACTATACACATAAATCACCGACTTACGTAAACGACATTCAAATTTATTTGACATTTATACGGGAGGGCAAACTTTTAATTTGTTCCTACTCCATTGACGGCTCTCCGAAGTTTGCCTTACGTATTTTTATACGAAACTTTTACTTTCGCCGCGTTGGTGTTACTCTTCCTCGAAACGTACGCCGAAGTAAATTATTTTTGAAATATTATATTTCTAAGTAGTTTAAAAGATCACGACTATGAAAGTTGAAGTTTAAATTAGCTTCGAAGCAACAACTAACTGTAATTAGTAATTCCCTTTTAATATTTCAGTATTCTATGTTTCGATTTTTTTTCTGAGTTGACACTTTTCAAGTACAGATTTGAATGTGCAGCGTTTTAAAACCACTTGCAATCTGTGTAAACTTGACATAATTTTAAAATTATTTCTAATGATTATTAAAAATTTCAACTGAAACCTTTATACGTGCTTTTAAATTACAACAGAAGACACACACACGGTGACTTTTTATGTCTAGTCTAAGCTGTAAGACATAAAAATGTCCTTTCTACCTTCAGACAATCTTGAGTGTTCATCATCATCATCATCATCAACAGCCTTTACTAGTCCACTGCTGGACATAGGCCTCTCCTTAGAAAGGAGGTTTTGGCCTACTACACCACGCTGGCCAGACGGGTTGGTATTGTGTGTTCATTAGTATGTTTATATTTACTAACATCGATTTCCCTTGTTTTAAGTTGTGCGATATAATTTCATATTGTTATTAACTGCCATATCTTCAAGCAGATCAACAAAATAAATAGCACAAATAGTCAATACTTAGAACATTATTAGATTCTACCTAAACATATACTTACATTGACCTTAAATCAAACTCATTACAAATAAATGACCATGTAATCGATTACCCTATTTCCTTCTAAAGATACTCGTAGACCTCACATATCCAACGCCAAAAGTCAATTAAGTATCACTCACGCTTTTATCTGTTAAGGGGTAAGCGAGCCAATTAGCGCTAATTAATTTGGGATATAAGCAGATACTAATCCCTGAATCAGCTTGGATCTTACAAAGGGATTTCATCAATCCTAATTAAGGAAACTTTGGTTAAACTGTAATGTTTGTTGTATCGTTGTAATCAAATCTGGATAACAAGGTTAAATTCAGCACCAAAAATGTATTTTATTGCAAGAAAGTGAATAAAATAGACTAATTAAATTCATTAAATTAGACATGGGATTATTTACTGATATACATTGATGATATTATGAGTAATGCAAATAATGAGTGACATTTTGAATTTCATTGTAAACCGTATTTATAAATGCGAATTTCATAAACCAAATTACTTAAATTTACTCTTTGCAGTGCTTTTACCGCGACAGTGTGAAGACACACTCCTTAAATTAAAACTTTCTTGGTTAAATTAAGAAGTGTATAAGACTCTCCTAATTTAGCAACACCGATTAGAACTTTCCTCATCCCACAAAATCACCGCTAGAAACAAATTCACATTCATTAGCCGTTCTTCATGGTCTATTTATGGTTGAGTACTCTTCCAGGGTAGCATATTACCATCGGTTAAAGATCGATCGATGTTCAACTTCAAAAGTCTTTGACAAGTCAAGCAACTGTGTTTTGTATAAAAAGTCGGACCCGTCCACGGTTCGTTGGTCTCTCTTGAGTTATCTACCTGTTCTTTGTAAATAAACAATGAGACAGGATTCAAGGGACACTGGATTGGGTTGTGGTATAAATTTAAGAATTCGGTATAATAGTCATAAATATACATGAATATTTTTTCAGCTGAAATTCTTTTACTTAAGTAAGGTACATATCGCAAATACGTTGTGCGGTGCGGTGCTTATAAAATATCAAGTAAATAATTTTATCTTCCTTTGAAAGCTTTATAAGATTTACTATCTAATTATAACTATTTTTTAAAGTTATCCGTGTTAATCTCTTGAAAAAGAGATATTTTCTTTATTATATTATATTTATCAAAGATATAAATTCTTGAATGCCAAAATATATCACTCATAAACACGATAGCATATTTTAAAAACGGCAAAAGGGTATTTGAATTTTGAAGTAGATTTCTTTAATATTTAAATATTATCCTTAAAAAAACTCTCTGTATAAGTACTGTATATAAAAATTGCCTGTATAGTTTACGTTTATAGTATTACGTTTTCCAGTACTAAGTCAAAAATGAAAAATAAATATCATGTTAAAAATATACCCGCTTTAAGTCATCAGTTTACCTTGTACATCACACAGTATCAAAATTACTGCGCTTTTTGACGACCCCTAGCTGATAGAGTAATATTATCAAAGGATTCAAGGCTCTAAGGGATGAACTCGGGGTTATTCACAGAAATTATTCGTTTTGATATTGGACTCTTTCGGTGGGGTTAAACAAGGGGATTGAGATATGATACTGATATCTAAGGTGTGATTGAAGAGAAGGATCTCATTACGTTCTGTAATATCCGTATCAGAGGTAAAATAATGTCAAAACTTGCCCTATTACGAAAAAAAAAACTATTGTGTTACATAAGGGAAATGATTTATAGAAAAATTGTTTTTCTGCGTCTATATGTAGTGTTTTGCCTGAAAAAAAATCAGTATTAAAAACATCTCGGGAACTTTCCGTTGCAGTAAGTCTAATCAATCTCAATTATAATAAGACAATATTTTAGATAAATAACTTTAAAAATTACTTAAAAGAAAATAAACAAAAAATTCGTTACTTTGTGTTTATTTTCTTTTAAAAATCAACATCGACCAGAGGATTATACACTAGTCACACTGTTTTAGAATGTAAGATGATACAAGATACATACGCAATTATGTTTATGGATGAAAACGAAGTATACACCATGATCATGATGACGATTCAGTTAAGCTTTGATTACGGTCAGTGTACGAGTACGTTACATTACGTTAACAGCCTTTAATAGTCCACTGATGGACATAGGCCTCTCCTTGGAAAGGAGGTTTTGGTATAAGATAGTTTGTCCTGTGTTTTTTTTATTATTCGTTTGCTCCCTTAGTCGGCTCTTACGACACCCAAGAGATGAATAGGGGTGGTGACTCTCCGTATTCTGAAACCGTCACCACAAGGATACGGCCAGTGTAACCTGGTTGAAATCATACGCAATTCAAAGGTTATATATAGATATAATCCCCCGTTACGTAATCGCTTTAATTCCAATACATATTGTATATTATTGTCTTACTTCACTTCCTAAATATTGTGAGCTACTGTTTGTCCATTTTCCATCTAAAATATTTCAACAATTTCAGGCCTTAAAACCTTATTGTTCGCTCCCTATTTATACTTGATACAATCTAATTGCTTTGAGGTTGTTCACGTTTATTTCCCAAAGGGCTTCAGTCTTTGATGGTAATATTCAAAATACGATTCGAGCACGTCTTATTGGATTCCAAATGATATTGTGTAAGTTACGCAAGGCTTTGTAAAATTTGCCACCATTTATGTTTTAGGTATTTTACCGACCAATTTCAATTTCAGATTCGTCGAATTTTTATTACTATTACCATAAAATTACAATGTAAACTCTCAGAATTAAACTAAGATAACTTTCTAGATTTTAACTAAATTCAAATTTTATAGATATTCATTATCATTACATCAATATGAAAGATTTATCGTAATGAAGATGTAGTGAACAGAGAGAAATTCAAAGAATTTATATTCTTTATGGATAAAAGTTAAATATAAGTACTGTTGACAAAAATGTTCAAGTTAAGAAGTTAACGAACAATTTATGAATTATTATTATTTAAAGTCGTATATAGTAAATTTAGGTCGTAAATCAATAACCTAGCACAGTAAAGACGGCGGTTTCCAAGGCTTTACTCGATACAGGGCATACTTATTACTGAAATTTGTCATCCATTAAATTATTAGATTTAATGTAAGACGAGTACAAGTTTCTAACAGGGTAAGTTAGAACTGTATGGTTTACAAAGTTTAGAGGTGCTGTAATGCCTAAGGCGTCGGACTTGTGATGAAGTAATTAAAGATTCAAATTGTAATATAGATAGATAGATACTCTTTATTGTACACCATAATTAGGATATATACGATGATACATACAAAAAAAACAGTGACACAATGGCCGGCCTTATCGCAATCTGCGATCTCTTCAAACCTTTAGATGGACTATACTATATAGTAATATGTTTATATACACAATTACACGTATATACGAATACAAATTCATACACTTACATACATACATAAATATGAATATATACATACACATACCCATACAGTACATAGGTATTACAGAGATAAATAGTGATCCTTAACGAGTTCTTTAAAAGTACCCACCAACTTTGGCTGCCTTAAAGACACAGGATATATTCCTAATGCGGGAGTTGTCTTTAAAAAAAAAAAAAAAAGCTTCAGGTAACGTATCCCAGAGGTTTGCTGCTTGCACCGTAAAAGATGTATCGGTAATATAGGTAGTGTTAGCATAAACCTCTTTTAAAATAAGAACTCAGCTTGGTTAAAAGCAAGATCAGAAATAATGACAAGGTGTAAAAATACTTACATAGAACAGTTAAGTCGATTTCAGCTTTCAATGTATTACTGATCATAATGTTCTTTGCTTCACATGTATATCGAGCTTTGTTATCTGACGCGTCGGCCTTAAAAGACAGGACGTTTTCTGACATTCTTCCAGTGGTTCTGCAACAAAAGAGAAACATTTGTTTATTAACAACACGTCATCAATTTGAAAATCATTGTTGAAAAAGACGGCCAAAAATTTTGTGCAATATTTTTTGGTAATTGTTTGATTAATAGACAGTGTCATGGCTGCTCTATTCTTCTAATGGTCAATCATCGTATAAGCCAGAAGTCGTCGGTTTGGTTCCCAGACAGGACAAATAATTATAATATAATAATATATCTCACACATCTCACACAAGGCCGTCTGATCCCAAACTAGGCAGAGCCTGTACTATGGTAACCAGACCGCTGATAAACATACTTATATATTTTTAAATACATACATATTATAGATAAATTACACCCAGACACAGAACAAATGACCGTGCTCATCACAAAGTATTTGTCCTGGGTTAGAATCGAACCCACGACCTCCGGCTTAGCAGTCAGGGTTACTAACCACTAGACCAACAGGCCCGTCAATTTGTGTGATCTTAACCAATTATTATTTCTGTCTGGGCTCAATTTATCTTCAATAGGTGTAGTTTTATCAGCGGTCTTGTTTCGATAGAACAAGCTCTCTTTAGTTTGAGATTAGACGACCGTGTGAGATGTTTCATGTTAATATCAGTGATCAACTATATCCATATTTGCAGTAGGACATCACTCTGTGATTACTACAACAACCTTTATGAGCTACACATAGATGAAGCCTTTCAATAAACATGTCTGATATATAAATATCTCGTGTCACTGTGTTTGTGGTCGCACTCCTCCGAAACGGCTCAACAAATCTTAATTTTTTTTTTGAATATTTGGTATGAGAATAGATCGTCAAGTTTTATTCACCCGCCTACTCCCCCCTCCCCCCATATATTAATCACGGTGTGATTTCTTTGATAACTTATACGACACTGCCGTTAACGTTTGCCAGTACAAATAATAGTAATCATCGACATCATCGACAGCCTTTACTAGTCCACTGCTGGACATAGGCCTCTCCTTAGAAAGGAGGTTTTGGCCTACTATACCACGCTGGCCAGACGGGTTGGTATAGGGTTTGTGTCAAGTTTTCCTTCTCTCTGCAGTGCTGTTGTCCTGCGTAGTTTGCTCCCTTAGTCGCCTTTTACGACACCCACGGGATGAATAGGGGTGGTGCCACTCTGTATTCTTAATCCGTCACCACACGGACAATAATAGTAATAAAATCATGCAATTTGTTATAATATAAAACAGCAGTACTCCCATTTACCCTCCATATTTTATTTTACAATACACTAAGTCTATCCTCAGAACTCCCACGGCATAAAAAACACTAAATCTTACCTAGTAAAACGGGAATATCAAATAGATTTTTTATGAAATAAACCATTATACGGTAGAGAGGTTTCCGCATTAATATTGAAATTCATGCTCTGGTGGACTTCTCACGCTGGCTTAGATTACGAGAGCGATATTAAATATAGCTATCTCCTTCTAGTGAGGTTTTTAAATTATTTATCACTGAGTTTTAAGGCTATATATAGAGTTTCTTGAATTCCACAGATGTTGGCTGTACGAGTGGTGTGATGTGATTACATATTAAAGCCTTCCTAAAAGGCTGGCAATACGTTTGTGACTCCTGAGTTGCAGACTTTCATGGGCGGCGAAGGTCACTTTCTATCAGGTAACCCGTCTGCTCGTCTGCCCCCCCCCCCCCCCCCCTCAACATAAAAGAAGGGTTTCATTTGGGACCACTTAGTAGTCCAGTACTGTTTTTTTCACAAATGTTTTAGTTTCAAACCAAATGGATGTTACGTAAAGTTTAAAGATAAATCTAAATTGAACAAAATAAGGAAAATTAATAATATTGTTATTAATTCAAATAGTAATCCTGAAAAAAAAAACACCATGGCATTATGAGATTACTTCAAGTCTGTATTTTCAAAGTAAAATGTAATACCAAATGGTACCTTCGAACAAAGATAAACAAGTTAGGTCATTCCATCGTCGACCAAATCGTCTCAGAAGCCTTTTATGCTGAAACTTGAAAAACAATATCTCGAAACGAAAGTTTAGCTTATCTTAGCATTTTCCCTTCTAAGTTGGTGCTCGTGAATTTATAATTGCGTTTTAGTTTACGGCAGATTTCCTTCGAATGGAGGTTCGGACTCTGATCATAAAATTTGTCATTTGCAATGTTATTAAACCTGTATTTTGGAGCCTGCTGGAATTACATGAGATTTCCTGCTTGGATTGGAGTTTAACAAGTTCATCGACTCTGTAAAAACAGCGGTATAACAGCACTCTTAGAGTGATTTTGTATTCCTAAATTAACTTTGGTAATAAACCAAAAGTAAGTAATGTGACGAAGATGCCTTTTTTTGAGTAGGTAATAACGAACCAAAGACATAGATTTGCGTACATTTTTTTTAAATCATTTACTTTTTATTGACAATCTTAAAAACTAATATTAATGTACATTTTAAAAAATCTTTACAGCCAAGACTGAGTTAATTAACCACATTGATTGTTCAAATAAAATTACAATCTTTTCACAATCTGAATTTGATTGCTGTGCCACCATTTTGGCCACAACTGATGAGTTATTCCATTAGCACCACAAATGAATTTGTGTCGAATTATATCTACCAATAAATTTTAAACGATTCAGTGAGAATTAATGAATGAAATCAACGATATTAACTTCAAACACAATTAAAATTTTGAGTTTATAATTTTATCAAATGAGTTCAGTTTCAGAATAGAATCTATAGTTAGAAAATATGGACGTCTGCAGCAGAATTGTGGCTCTGCTACTGTAGCTGAGCAAGATTTGAAGGTTTTTCTCACAGCCCTGAAGATATATCGTGTCAATTTGGTGTTGGTCACGGGGTTTGGGATCCTGGGTATAATTCGAACGAAATTTTGTTTTTGATCATGGTACTATTAATAGAATAGGACTATGTTTCCGTTTCCAATCGGTGACGGATTAAGAATACGGAGTGTCACCCACCACCCATATTCATTCCGTGGGTGTCGTAAGAGACGACTAAGGGAGTAAGCACTGCAAAAGAAGGAAAACTTGACACAAACCCTATACCAACCCGTCTGGCCAGCGTGATATAGTAGGCCAAAGCCTCCTTTCTAAGGAGAGGCCTATGTCCAGCAGTGGACTATCAAAGACTGTTGATGATGATGATGACTATGTTTCGATATTTAGATAAGGCAGGCTAGTTGAACGTGTTATCTTCTACCAAAAGCACAGAAGCTTCTTAGAATGTTCACAGGTTTCTCTCACTTTGTCTCAGCATTGATATAAAAGCAAGATCAAGTCCTTAGTCTAGAAGTAGCAAGGTTCTTTATCTCCTCGTCTGTTCCTTTAATATCCTCTATTCTACTCAGTGGGTCAGGGATCAGAGCAGCTCAAAATGTATGTCATACCCCTTTTTGTACACCAATAGCAAAAATATTTCCTCTAAAGAAAGAAGTTGTCGCTCCTGTATACTATGATGCTAGAAGTTTTCTAGGAGGCCAGACAGATGAAACCCGGATTCTTTAATCCTATCTCAGCTATAATTACTCTCATAAAATACATTAATATAAAATAAAATAAAAATAGTTTAAAAAAACTAAAAATCGCGCTTTTATAGAAAACCAAACTAAAAATAGAAAATAAATTTTAATAAATTTGAAAAAAAGCGTTTGGTGCCTGTTGTCAATAGTAAAAAGCTTAAATTAGTGTATTGTCATCGGTCCTCGATATATCTACAAAGTTTGAACGAATTCTGACCATTTAAAGTCAGTCAAAATCACGCCCAAAGGAGTCGGTTACAAAAATACAAACAAACATACAAGTGAAGCTAATATAAAGCTTGTAAAAATAATGATTGGATTAAAATACAGTTAAACTTACAATAAAATACAGTCATAAAGGTGTAAGAAAAGTACTCAATCCTGAAATCGTCTTGTTTAAAACGGTGTAACTGAGAGCGTTATTTGGGTACTTTAAAATTTAAACAACCTAAGCATTCCGTTTGAAAATTATTTATCTCAAAAGCGGGCAAAGTTTGAAACTGGGCTCGTACAGTTTCAGGTGCTCCAACAATATTTATAGAAAATATAAAGGGGGATGCGGTTAAGCGGTTTTTTGCAACTTTTGCTTTAGTTTCTGAACGTTGAAGTTTGTTAATGCTGAGATTTCTTAAGTGTTACTTAGTCTTTATGCGGCGTGAATTTTTTCGTGAATTTCTTAGTGATGTTCAAGACGCGGGATTTTTACCTACTTATTTCTAAATCTTAAAACTTTGCTGTTGCTTGCTAAATTTCGAAACTACAAGGCATATCAATTCGTTTTAGTAGAATATTGCTGATCGTACACATGGCTTATGAAATACCTGGAAAATATATATACATCTAATAGTTATTAACACTGATTTTCGAGAGAAAATCAGTTGAAAAGGTTTTAAACCTATTAGTTTTGCGTATATTTAAGTTCCTTGTGAAACAATCTCTTGTTTCACAAGGAACTTAAATATACGCAAAACTAATAGGTTTAAAACCTTTTCAACTGTTGAACATTGAAATCTTTATTAGAAGTACGATGATTTTTGCCGCCAAATTACTTTATGTCTATAATTTATAACTACATTGTCTCACAATGTATAAAGTTGTTCAAAAGTAAAAGGAATAAAATGAAAAATTAATTCGTTCATAACTATGATCATAATAAGTTGTGTTCTCCCGTTGTAACCTAAAACTCGACTTCATTGGAAACAAAAACGTTTTGCGGTCACTATAGTATCCCACGGGATCACATTATTATGGATAATATTCTGTGGGAAAATGGGTCTATAGTGTTTAACGCAATAGGAATAGAAGATCGGTTTGAATTGTTTAAGTGGATTTTAATTCAGAGTATTCTAGTCAGAATATTATTAACCTTATAATAAGTAAGTCTTTAGAAATTGGTCCTTATGGTTTTTTTTTATAGTATACGAGGCAAAGGAGCATATGAGTCCTCTGATGGTAAGTGGCTA